TATTCAGTGGTGTTGAAGCCTGGACTTAGTACATCTCATTGTTTCGAGAAATGCACTCTCAGGAAAAAAAAAGGTACCAAACTGTCACTCTTTTCACTGGGTACGTCTTCAGTATGTTTTGTTAGGGAACATAACTGCACCATGTTTTGTTATAATTGTGTTTTTCTTTAAGCTATAATGTCACCACACACCCCATCTCATCTCCAGCCTTTTTATTTTATTGTTCTTTTTTAAAACATTAGGTTATTAAGAGGTGCAAATATGTACCTTTTCTCTGAGAAAAATGTTTTTAAGGTGTGCAGTTGGACCTTAAAACCACTGTTGTAGCTTTGAGGATGCGTTCACACTGTACCTTGATGAACGTACCTGCACAGTGCAGCATCATCCTTGATTTGCAAATTTACTTTTCTCAGTAACAGCTTCTTGACAGCTGCACAGCCTCTTTAAGAGGCTCTCATAGTTTTGAGTCATCTTCTCACAGTGGAAGGATGGACAGAAGCACCTGTGGGTATTTTCAGATCTGAAGCAAGAGAGAGCATCTCTCTCAAAGATGAATACTTTACGAACTGACGATGACAGTTTTGTTGGTCTACCAGACCCTTCACAACTGTTAGAAATATTTTTTTGAAACTTTTGAGTATCTTATCTATTTTTTTTTATTTATTATTTATTGTTATTTAGCAAGCTGAGTAAATAGAAAGTATGCCAGTAAATAGTTATCTACCTGATGAAGTAGTTTTTTCATTTAAACTCTTTTTCCTAAATAGTAATTTTCTGCTTAATTATTTCATTTACTGGACTGTCTAAACTGAGCATTTAAATGCTGGGATGATACCCAGCTCTGACTTACAGTATGTCTCTCTATAGATGCCCAACTAATTTTTTTTCTATAAATTGTTGCAGCATCTGGCAGTTTAACGTGTTAAATAGCCCGGGCCTGCCAGTGGGCCCAAAGTTTTATTACACACTTCTATGACTTAAGAATAGCTCCACCAGTTTGCACTGTCCCTGTAGTTACTGAATAATAAGCCTTAGTATGTAATAAACCTGAGATTTTAAAGTCATTCTTGTTGGTTTTCCTACAGTAATAACAATAAACCTGTGAATAAACTGCCTGATACTGAATACTTTGAGCTGCTACTTTAACCTAATTGCTAAAGCCAAACTTATGGGTTTCTTTTGTGTTGAACATTTTCATGTTCACTTTAAATCCCTCAGCATTAATCAGACTGATCAGAGACCTGTGCAGGAGAGAAAATTAAACTTTAGGAGTTTACAAAGGTGCGTAAAAAGGGGCCACAAATGATGCTCCAGATTCTTGTTTCATTTTCATATTTCTAATTAAGCGACCTTCTCTAGCGTGTTGGGCAGACAGACTAGCCTCTTTTCTCTGCTTATTTGATGTGTTTTATCTCTGAGCACCATTCACTCATGGCTCCACGGGATTGGGCCGGCTTCTGGCCACCACAGAGGCAGAACTAATGATGACATTAGTCCGGCTTTGTGCGCGAGGCCACCGGATATGGATTAACCAAGCAAGAAATAATCTAGGATTTCATAATATGCATGAATAAACATGTGATGTGTTTTTTCTTTCTTTTTTTTCTGGTTTAGTTTTTTATCACAGAAAAGAGTTTCTAATTTTTTAAGAGGCTCTCTTTGGTGGGAAGTTTTTGAAGATGCTGGAAAAAGAACAGGGGAGAAGAACTCCTCTTTTCAAAATTTTTTTTATTTGTCTTTTTGCCACTCAGACACTGAGTATTCTGTCCAATGACCCTTTATTCTATTTTCCTTCTCTCTTCTGTGCTGCCTCTGCCTGTCTCTGATGTTCTTTAGTTTTCTGAAAGACTATGTTTTGGATGTGGTGGATGTATTTAGTATCCGTCACTAAACGCTGTGCAGTTTACCACTTCATTAAAGTGACATTTCAAGCCTCTCAAACCTCAGTAACCTCGAGCGTCTACGATCTTTGTACAGGCTTGTTGTGAGAGGAGTGTGTTTCTAAATGCTGATTGCATTACTTGTTAGATACATTAGTCTTGTAGCTACAGTGCAAAACTAGAGATGTAAACTTTGGACACCAAACATGTCTGACTGATGACCTACATATGAAGCAGGGTGCTGTGCATGGATCTGTCCCGGGCCAGTTAGCTGCCTCAGTGAAGACGCAGTGGCAGCTGTTTTTATCACTGAGCTATCAAACTGTGGTCTTCTGGTTGTGGAGAGAAAATCCCAGTTCTGACCGGCAGTGTCTGCTTATTGAAACAAAAGTCCTTTATCAGTGTAAATGTGTCAAATTTGATGGGAAAAAAGTGGTCAATAATCTGAAATCTGTATATTGCAAATTACACAGTATTCATAAGTCTTTTCTTATAATTGATTCAGAATTAAAATTCTTGAACTTAAATGGATGTGCTTTTCAGCAGTAGTAGCTACAGAGCTGGTAAAAGATATGTAATTTTGCGGCCAGATTGTATGTGGAAAAAAAAGAAAACAATAATCTATATGCATACAGTATTACTGCAATTACTATGAATAAAATTAACATTAATCATTAAAAAATAGCATTAGTTATGCATCTTAATGTTTTAAGCATGCAAATTCAATCTTTAATCGGGTTTGTTGATCTTCTGAGTGAAAATAAGTCAACACATCCTCCACAGAGAACACACTTCATATTATAATCCACAATTACTGTTTGTTTGCTAAATTTAATATATTAATATATATTAATAATAATATAAATATAATATAAAATATATAAATATTAATATATTAGGGAAAAAGCATTTTTTATTGTCTCTCAACAAATAAGTAGAAATTGTGCACTATAATCTACTGGAAAGAATGCCATATGTGAGTGTGTTCTCTGTAGATGATGTGTCAACAAAACGTGCGTTGACAAACTTTTGCATATGATTGTATTGTGATATAAAGAAAAACTAGAATAAGAAAATGCATCGACATAAGGTATCTAGTGAGGTATCTAGAACAGCGTATTGAAGCAGTCTCTGATTGCTGCAATTTCACTAACTAATCTCATACTAAAGGCATATTAATCCTCGTTAAACCATCAAACATCCACTTGAATAAAATTGTTCAAAATCTTTAAGCTTTTTCTTCTCATTTATCCCTCACACTCCCCCACTTCAGCTGTGAAGAGATTAGTGTCCTGCAGATGGCAGCTACTTCTTTCTTTTTTTCTTTCTTTCATTCTTTCTTTCGTTCTTTCCTTTTTTCTTTTTTTCTGTTTTTCTCTCTGTCTGTTTTTGCAGTTTGTCTGAGTGCTTGTCAGTGGAAGAGCAGTAAATGGCACGTGACTGATGTCTGGTGGTTTGGCATTAATTGTAGCAGTTTGATAGTGCAAACACTTAGTTGGTGTGTGTTAATGGTTCAGTTACTTAGACTTACAGGAGGTGACGAGGCAACAATGCAGTGCCCTCAGATTCCACTTACCTTATGTGAGTGTGTGTGTGTATATGTTTGTATTGTGTGTGTGTGTGTGTGTGTGCGCGTGTGCATGCAAGTTGTTTGTGTTCTCTTTTTACTCTTCCACTTTTTAATTGCAGCTCAGTTGTTTTCTTGTTCCATTGAAAGCTGTTTAGGAAATGCATGATAAAACATATCAGAATTTAGGTTCTCATGCAAGTTTTTTTTTTTCCAATTTAGGTTGTTAATTAAGTACATTTTACAATAAGTGTTTTTGGCATCTGGATTAAAACTAACCACATTTGTCTCATTGGGTGAATTTGGCATGAGATTTGGACCGATAAGCTGGACCGGCAAAGCCGATTTAGAAACAGAGAGATTATCTGTGATGACACATGTTGGCTAATAATTCTCATTTCATATTTTAACTGATTTATGAAAACTCAGTAAATAACAACTAACAAAAAATGATAACATGGAACCAAAATTGTAAGCTGATGAATAATGTAAAATATGTGAGAAGTAACACACAGCCTATAGTTTATGAACAAAAAGAAAAATAGTGCAAACCTGGTGGTGCAAGTCAGACATGTGTTTTGTCTGTTTTGCCTGAGCGGTGGAGTCGTGTCTGCTGTACTTTCTTGTTATCTTTCTATCATTTCGGTGGTCAGTTTACATAATGTATGCTATGAACTTGAGTCCTCTATCGAGCAGTGGTCAAAATTCATCAGGCAGGCTCCCCTACAACCAGCTATTGTTGTGTACGTGTTACAAACAAAAGGGAATGTTAAAAGGGATCTGGTAACTTGACCCACATTCATTTCCTGTTTATAAAGATTTCTAAAAGACTTTTAGAAAAAAGGGGAATGTAAAGGGGGAATTTAATCTGGATCTGTTTTATTCACACCGGATCATTTTTCAGTCTTTTAGAAACTGCACATATTGGCCTAATTTTTTTATTTATTTATTTTTTAATAAACTGTATGTGTGTGTTGTGGCTGTTGCTGGAGTTTGTGTGTGTTTGTGTGTGTGTGTGTGTGTGTGTGTGTGTGGGTGTGTGTGTGGGTGTGTGGGTGGGTGTGTGTATGGGTGTGTGTATGGGTGTGTGTGTGGGTGTGTGTGTGGGTGTGTGTGTGTGTGTGTGTGTGGGTGTGTGTGTGTGGGTGTGTGTGTGTGTGTGTGTGTGTGAACTGTGAGTGGCTCATGCTGGCTGGCGGTCTCCAGGTTAATGATGGACTAATGCTAGTTTAATTAGGTTCAGCCATCCAAACAGTGGCCCTAGTGGAATCTAACTACTTTCCCTTGTTCCTGTAAAAAGGTCCACTTTTTTAAAATTAAAGCATACTGTTTTTCCTCCACTGTGTTTAGTTTGGGAAGAAAAGAAAACCCTTTTATACTGATTTTGAACTTGGCTATATTTTAATATAAATCAAATATTTAGCTTTAATTGAACAGCATTAACTTTCTGCCTGGCAGGAAAGTAATCTGCAGAAGACCTATAATCCGACAGTCTTTTTTAAGAAACATACAAGTGCAGATATTTCCTGTGTAGGGGAGAAGGGAAATAAGGCCGTGTCTGCCTCTGTGGTTGATGCTCGTTCGTCGTTGTCTTGTGTGTCCACGCCCCAGAGAGAACTGCAACGCCTTCATTACTTTCAAAAAAAGCCTTTTTCTGTTTGCCATGGCTGATACGGAGATCTTAGAGGAGCAAAACAAGCTGAAAAGAGGGCTGGTGAAAGTCCTCGAGTGTGTTGCTACAATCTCGTCAGCGGCCGCCGTGGTGAACCCCATCTTTGGTGTGGCAGGCTCGCTGATCCGTCTAGTCCTGCACCACGTTGACAACGAAGAGATCCAGACACTGAAGTGTGAGTTCAGCAGCGTGAACCGGGCACTGGACGAGATCTCCCACCAGAGCCGCACAGCCCTACTACAGATCAAGAAGGAGACGCTGGACGGCCAGTACTGCCGCGTGGAGGAGAACATCCGCAACCAGTTCCGCAAGTTCATGGAGGTCGTGGAGGCACGGCCCGAGCACCAGCAGAGCAAAAAGGATGACTTTGAAGAGAGCTATGCCAATGACATGGGCGACCAGAACCTGCACACGCTCTACGACGGTGTCATGGGGACACCAAAGCTCTTCAGCAGACCCATCCTGGAGGTGTACATGACATACTCCAAGGGTGACCGGCAGGTGATGGAGCGCCTGTGCACCCGTCTCACCTACCTTTTCTGCATTGGGCTGATTGCCCTCATGGGCTACGCTGCCATCATCAGGGATGATGAGGAAGGATTGAGTGAGGAATGGGCCAAGAAGATGGAAAACCTGCAGGAGAGGATGCAGGAGGTGCTGAGAAGATGCAAGTGATTCCTCCTCCTTTTCCACACAGCAGACTCCTTATGTATTTCCTAGAGCGGGGGTCACCAAACCTGGTGCTGGAGAACTGCCTTCCTGGGGAGTCTAGTTCCAACCATAGCCAGGCACACCTGCTCTAGATACACTGAAAAAAATGGATTGTTGGATAGGAGTTGGATTTACTTAAAAAAAAATAATAATAAAATCATAGCATCATTTTGCAAGCAGCTTTTTAATAGATTCAGCATGAGGGATTTTCAAGTAAGTTGAACAAAGCAGCTTTTGTTGTACCTACTCAGCTGTCTTAAGTTAAAAGTTACATCAGGTCAGCTCAAACAAATAAAGTCCTATTTAACTAAAAAACTAATTTAGTGAATGTAAGCTAATGTAAAATAAACTCATCATAATACTGTAAGTTGCATTTGTTGTATTCCATATACGCATGCATGTATCTTAAATCAATACTTTAACTTTCACAGTCATTCTAGACAAACTGTGCATGTAAGCATGGCAAATGTATGACAAAAAAGAGGAAGGTTCCTCTTAGGCCTCAGCTGCTGCAGTGTAGTGAAGCTCAGGCAGCTGGCCTGGGAAGCCTCGTAGCCCAGAAAGAGTCCTTAGCCATGGCGGATGGTCCCCTCGTGGGTGTGGTGTAGTATTGCTCAGGTGGCTGGCCTAGGAAGCCTTTTAGTCCTGAAAGAGTTCTTAACTGCAGTGGACCATCTCTTTTTCTGCATTGGAGGCCTCATCGCTGTGGTGTAGAGTAGCTCAGGCTGCCGGCCCGAGAAGCTTTGTAGCCCTGAAAGAGTCTTTATCCACAGAGGAAGGTTCTGATCAGCATGGTAGGCCTGTAAAATGAAACAATCTTTCAGTATTTGCTTGAAAATAAGTTTACACATTAAGCTTGAAGCAGGTATTGAACTGGCTTTACCACTAAATTTACTAGACAGTTACGTTTGAAATGTACAGTAGCCATTCTATCGCAGAATTAGTTTATAGGTTCAGTTTAACACAGTATCATAATTTTACCTAATATACCAGTGTCTCCATAGCTGTAACACTCCTGTGTGAATGAGCTTGCATTGTGCATGAGACAGGAGTTTGGAAGTAGCAGAAAGAAAGGGTTTCAAGTAGTGATGACACCACCCAAGTATAAATACAACCCTGTTTTCAAAAAAGTTGGGATGCTGTGCAAAATGTAATCAAAAACAAAATGTAATGATGTGCAAATCATTTAAGCCCTATATTTAGTTCAATATAGACAACATGTCAGATGTTGGAACTGAGAAATTTGATAGTTTTTTTTGAAAAATATATGCCCAGTTTGAATTTGATGCCTCCAGCACATTTAAAAAAAAACAGGACAGGTGCTTGTTTACCACTGTGTTGCATCACTTCTTCTTTTAACAACACTCTGTAAGCGTTTGGGAACTGAGGAGACCAACTGCTGTAGTTTTGAAAGTGAAATATTTTCCCATTTTTGCTTAACATAGGATTTCAGCTGCTCAACAGTTCAGAATCTCCTTTGTCTTATTTTTCCTTTTATAATGTGCCAGATGTTTTTCAGTGGTGACAGGTCTGGACTGCAGGCAGACGAGTTTAGCACCCGGACTCTCTTTACTGGTGTGTTAATGTGTGTTGCGCTGGTCTGATTGGATCAGACACAGCAGTGCTGCTGGAGTTTTTAAACACCTCAGTGTCACTGCTGGACTGAGAATAGTCCACCAACCAAAAATATCCAGCCAACAGCTTCCTGTGGGCAGCATCCTGTGACCACTGTTGAAGGACTAGAGGATGACCAACACAAACTGTGCAGCAGCAGATGAGCTATCATCTTTGACTTTACATATACAAGGTGGACTGACAAGTTAGGAGTGTCTAATAGAGTGGACAGTGAGTGGACACAATGTTTAAAAACTCCAGCAGCACTGCTGTGTCTGAGCCACTCGTACCAGCACAACACACACTAACACACCACCACTGCATTAGTGTTACTGCAGTGCTGAGAATGATCCAGCACCCAAATAGTACCTGCTCTGTGAGGGTCCATGGGGGTCCTGACCACCAAAGAACATGTCTGCCTCAGTTTTAACCTGGTATGTTGTTCTGTAAATGATGAGGATTTAGACATGTTTCAGAGCCTTTTTGCTCCAGTAGGTCACACTACAGCCTACCAACTGTTTTTATTCGCTCCATCAGGAGAGTTACAGTCAACTGAAGTTTTATGACTGACAGAATAAAGCATAATTGCTGGCAAAAGGGATTAAACACACACTGAAAACAAATATGTGACTCACAAAACATCTTTTACTCAAGTATCAACTGCTGAAATGGCCAAAATGTACTTGTTTAAGATATAGCCATTTCTTTTGACCTGTAAGTTTAAGTTAGCTTAAAGACCGCAGTGCGCTTCTCTGCGCTAGATAGCACAGCTAACTTTAGCAGGTTTTTGCTGTTGCTGCTCACTCTTGCTCTCCAACCCAAGCTGAGCTGCATTCAATTACCTGTCAGATTTTCTAAACGGATTAATGAAATACTCAACAAAAAGGCTTCAAATTGGCAAACTGTTAAAAACTGTTGAAGGTAGCTAAAGTTTAGTAAAAAAATGTTTAAAGTTTAGGTTTATTTTACCTTGTAGTGCTCCAAATACATCCCTTATCCCAAGCAGCTGATGAGGCAATTTACGATTAAGCAGACCTTTTCATGTCCCTAAAGCAAATATACAGTATTAGCAAACTATTTTAGGCTGAATAAGTGATTTGTTATGATGGCTAACTCACTTAACTCCATTCAAATTCTTCAGGTAACAGTCACTAACTGCTTAGCTAGTCTTACTGGCCACAAAGAGATAAAACAGCACAAATATAGTGAACTGCGTTCAAAAGTAGTCGTAGTTTCTAAAAATTAAAAGTAAGGCTTGTTGATTTATAATTTTTTTTTTTTTTCAATGTAATTTTTCAGTATAATTTTCAGAAGGCTTTGATTGACTGGATTGAATCATTTAATGTTGGGTAAGGGCACAGAATGTTAGAGGCAGACTGGGACTAAACTGTGCAGGAAAAAAGATCTCCAGGAGGAATGCTGGTGACCACTGCCCTAGAGCTTTGGTCACCAACCATCTTCCTGGAGGCCTAGCTGGTCTTGAAGATCTACCAACCACCAAGTCTGATCTAACAGACCTGGTCCAGCTGATTAAAGGAATCAAAAATGCTAATATTGCTCACAAAAATAAGAAAGAGACAGGTACCAATTTGCATTATGCAAATAACATGCTAATTGGTGACTACAGGTTTCCATTCACTATGAGCCATATTAGCATGTCTGGTCAAACTATTCCTTCGGCTGAAAAGACCAGTTGCTTCGAGGTTTAGATTTGGCTTCCAACTATACTAATCAGGAGGGTCAATCTCTACATGAGGGGGGATGGTGATCATTGCCTTTGTGAGGAAAAAAAAAACTTATCTTGATTATAAGCTTAGCTATATTTTTATATCAAGTATTTAACTTTGATCAAACATTATTAACTTTCTGCCTGGCAACAAAGTAATCTGCAGAAGACACATAACCCAACATACTGAGAATTAATATTTTTTTAGCAACATACAGGTGCAGATATTTCCTGTGTAAGTGAGAAGGGAAGTAAGATACCATCTGCCTCTGTGGTTGAAGCTTGTTCATTAAAATGAATTCATTACCTTCTTTTAAAAATGGGGCTTCTCTCTTAAAAACAAAATCCCTGAAGCAGGCACAGTCTCGCATTGATTAATGTTACAAAATCCATCTTTCGTATGGTTTTACTCTGCAAACAGTTGTAATCTTTATATTTTCTGTTCTGAAGTGCCTTTATAATCCATTGTCAGTTGACCAATGTCAGTGCTGTGCTGGAATAAAGGGAGATTTTTTTCATTAACTCAGCTGTATGACTTCTCATCTTTTGTTTGATTGAATTGTTCCTAACAGCTTTTACAGGGTTTAAACTTCATGTAAAAAACACAATATATTGGCAGTTTATTAGTTCAGTTACACTTATTACTGGTTATTTCCTTTCCAAAGCCTTGTACTGAGTGAGAGGTGTAATAGAGTTCCTATGGAATGTACTACATTAAAATAGACCACAGTTTGAGCAAAAAAGACTCTATGTTGTGGGGAAAAAAGTTCATTGACCTTTTTGGCACTACCTGGAACCATTTCAAAGTTTGTTTGTTTGTTTGTTTGTTTGTTTGTTTGTTTGTTTTTAGAGCAGGCCTAATAATGTGGAATATATATAATAGCATGGGACAACATCCCTGCAGATTTCTTTAAAAAACAGACAGACACACTGAAAATGAGGACAGTGGTTTGTCCTGATGACACTGAAACACACACACACACTCACAGAGTTGCACATGCGAGTGACAGCGACCTGTTCTGCTGTTTGGCAGTAGGTTATTGCGTTAGTTCACACACCGCGATGCATGATGAGTGTGATACTTCAGTAATCATGCAGACAGAAATGAATTCTGTCAACAAACGCTACAGCATCTGTCCTCTCACTGCGTGTGTGCGCGCGTGCATGTGCACGTGTATGCACGTGTGCTGTGGTGCTCTGTGTAAATGACTGACTCTGAGTGCTACTGGAGCGTGCTTTAGTCATTTGTTTGCTGTTTGTTTGTTTCTGATGAGTTTATGCAGTCTGAATAAAGGCCCTGGTTGAGGGCAAATAAGTGCGTCACAATTTCCTGTCAGGCCTGCAGATCTGTTGAAGACTAATTTGATGTGTCCTTTTTGTCATTTTTTCTACTCTTGAACATTGTGAAGTTGTTCCAGTCTTGTCATCATATTATGTATTTTTACCCTTCTCATCTATTCATAGGAGTGGATGAAAATGTTTATATATATGCATTAGCATGGTCGATATGACAATTATCATTACTGTGATAAATTACAGCACATTGTGCTTTTCTGAGTATGTTGTGGATCTTGTCAGTACTTAACACTGACCAAAATAGAACATAATTAGGTCTGGTTAATAGGTTTTATGATACATACTATCTGAAATGTAGGAATACTTTTTTTTGGTCTGTTTTGGTCTGTTATTGAAGTATAACAGTTGCCAAATACCAGCATGTCTAATCATCTCATAGGCCAGAGAAAACAAGTACTCAAGTACTTATATTACATAAAGTAAGATGCTTGTCAGTATGGGGTAAGAACACTGTGCTCACAGTTTACGGCCCAGGATTAATGAGAATTGCTATTAACACATTGCCAAAGTTACCCACAGTGGGAATTACATAAGGGGTTCATGCGAGGGGCTCATGTAAGGGGGGCATATGATGAAATTTAAAAGTTCCTAGTGATACAAATGTTCTTTATCCAATATACTGTGTGCCTTGGGCTTTGAAGCTTTTTAGATTTTAGAATGTTTCTGGTTGTGCTGGGTTGCAGATTGTCCAAAATGTGAGTGAGGAAAGTGATGTGACTGTCGGTGATGATAACTGAAGTGCACACACACACACACACACACACACACACACACACACACACACACACACACAAATTGGAACGTTAAAACACACATGTGAATATTACTACTGCAGTTTTCCCTCGTACATCACGGAAAAGAGCAGGAGTAAGAAGACTTGATCTGGGTGAAAGAGTGTGTGTGCATGTGTGTAGACAGGTGCATGTGGAGTGAGAGGTTGACTGGGACTCCACCAGTGGAAGCACTGTTTTTGGGTTTATCTGGTACTGAATTGATTTATCACTGGGCAGATATCTTTAGCATCTTCAGTGTGGTTCGGGTTTGGTTTGCTGAAGGCAGTGATGCAGTGTTTTCGTAACACTCATTCTGTTGATGATGCTTTATTTTTGCTTATTTTATTGTTATTACAACAAATTTTGTCATTGTGATAAACAGTATGCAGTACTTAAAGTACGCTGAACTGCATGTTTCATTACAAAGAGAGCATAATTTGTCCTCTTTAATTTAGTGCAGTGCAGTATGTGAAATGTCAAAAGGTTCTTAGTACCCAGTTTTTGATGGCTGTTTTAATTGTAACACTACCTGTGCATTGTGCTCGTGTGTCAGAATATTGTGATACATAGCATATGCTGTGAAAATTTGTTTGATTATCATGATATGACATTTACTTTAACATTTCACTGTCGTACTGAAGCCTTGTATCACTGAAATGGTGGCTTCTTAGGGGAAGGAAAAATGTTGTTAACTTTAATGTATGTTTATGCGAACATATTTCATTCCAGATAATTATCTAATATTTCTGTTGTTTGTCATAACATTTCAAAGAGCAGCTGGAATTTGCAAATGATGTTAGGAAAAGAAGAATTTGTAAATTCGTATGAAGCACATATCCTTTAGGT